GGCTTGGCATATGAAGTGGAGGGCTGGGCATGTACCCCTGCGGCATCGACAATAAGGATGTTGTGGTGGGACTGATGCAGAACAGGTAGCGCCTTCTCTCCGTCCACGCGTCGGGGGACGATGATATTGAGACGTTGACGTCTTTCTCGGCGCCTAGGAATGTTAACCCCTCGTGCTTCCGCCAAAGTAGAAACGACTTCCCATTTCATTAAACCAGTCCATATAGTTATCCGTAACCATATGACTAGTTTCAGCGTAATATTGTCGAGGGGCCACCAGTGTATATCGATTCTCCCAAAGCGTAATCCAATCTCTGTGTCTCACCACCCAGTTAACATCTTTCTTTCCTCGTCTATCTATGTTATGCACGTCGTCTAAATTCCTAGGAGCTCCAGGAATATATTGCGTACAACCATACTGACGGAGCACGCGATCAACTGGATGCCACTCAATAATAGCATAACATATAAGAGGTATAACCGATATCCATACCTCTAATGACCCACTAAGGTGGGGTGGGATGCAAGCTTTCACTTCATCGCTCGCATAAGGTATCCACTGAAACTGAAATATAAATATACAATTCAAATAAATAAAATATTCTAATTATATCTAACATTTTAAATTAAAATATTAATAATTAAACAAATTTAAAAACATACCTCAGACCCAGCTTTCGTATCAATAAGTAAACGAATTTCCTCTAACCCAGTAGGTATACTTTTATGGTCCTTTCTTTTAATCGACCACCTATGAAATATAATATAAACTAAATATCACCCTATTTAATTGAAAATATTTAAATCAAAATTTAGTTCGAAAATTACCTCAACAATAAGGGGAATACGTATGGTTATTCACGATCGGGCATAAGAAAGGCATGCGGAACCACGCCCATGATTGTAGAAGCAGAAGACATCCACCGATAGCAGTTTTCTTATAATTCGTCGCCCGACACATTTCTCTAAAGAGAAATGCCAAAACTGCAGCACCCCAACTATATCTTCCAGCTTCATCAAAATCGATCAGATGCCGCAACCACATACAATGCACCTGGTTGCGAGATTTGTCGGGCATCAATATTCCTCCAATTATTCGTAGAATATATGCCCGAGCACATGCCTTTGCTTGATCCTCTGAAGCATTTTCATTTAAAACCTCAAAATTAGCTTTCAACCTAGATAAAGCTATTCTACCTCCATTAAACTCTGGCGGAGCAGCTCCAAGATAATCAATGCACATTGATTGCCAATCACCATCCGCCATACCACACATCATATTTCCGTCGACGGGAAGCCCCAGATGCATAGAGACATCCTCCAATGTAATTGTCGCCTCTCCACATGGAAGGTGAAAAGTGTGTGTCTCGGGCCTCCACCTCTCAATCAGTGCAGAAATTAGGACAGGTTCGAGTTTGCAACCGCCTATAATTGTTGCAATATACCCGAACCCGGCAGAAGCCAAATATGGCAAAATACGTTCCGGTGTCGGTATACGTGGATTTTTAATAAAAGTCTCTAAAATACGATCAACATCCTAAATAATATACATTATAAAAAATAAAAAATAATATAAATTCATAATAACTTTAAAATAAAAATAAATTTAAATATTAACATTAATTATAAAAAATATTACCATATCGCTAAAATGTCTGGAGATATGATCAATATCCAATCGCAACAGCATTTCGTTTTCATTATAACTGTAGACAAAACAATATAATTAGCAAAAAAAATTAATAATTCTAAATAAATAATAATTATATAAATATTATTTTAATAAAAAAATAATATTTACATAAATATTAATATAAAAAATAATAACTATTTAAAAAATACTAACATAAAAATAAATTTCTTACCACTAATAACAAATTTAAAACTCAAATAGTTAGAGAATTTGAGTTTATAAGAGAGGAGAATATGATTTTGGTGTGAAGAATGAGGGAGGGTTGAGGGGGTTTATATAGGGGAGGAGGAGGGGTAGTTAGGAAAAACGGATGGGGGCATTTATGACATTTAATGGAAGGCGCGTTCCCGGGGATGCGCTTTCCACACGTGGCGGTCGAGTCAGTGAAGGCGCGTCCCCGAGGATGCGCCTTCCACACGTGGCATCCAACTCAGTGAAAACACGAGTAAAGCGCGTCCCCGGGGACGCGCCTTTGCCAACTCAGTAAAAAGGGTACTACTTCGGGAAATATTAGTCAAACGGTGTCAGAAAGGAAAAATTAAAGAAAATCGGTGTCAGTTTTATCAAATAGCCGGAAAATTCTTAGGGGTGACAATGTAAGCATCCGATTTTAGATTTCCATTTCCGTTTTTCTAAATTTAAGTTAATTCGAAATCAATTATATGTTTTTTCCCCTTTTGTAATGGATTGACAGGTGCTGATAATCAGGGGCAAAGATAAAGGTGAAACTGTCATTATCGAAAGCGTTATTCGCTCTCAGAATCGTGTAATTGTTGAAGGGAAAAATCTGGTCAGACTCTTCAGAACTTAAGATACAATTATTGATCTGTTATTAGGAAGGATTGTCTTTTAAAATCCCCCTATTTTACAGGTGAAAAAGCACATTAAGCAAGGCCCGGGTCATGAAGGTGGTATATTTACAGTCGAGGCTCCACTTCACCCCTCAAATGTTCAAGTTCTTGATCCTATTACTGGGTATTGGCTTTGAGTATGGTTGTATATTTTAAAAGTATTTAAAACAAATAAGAGTATTTTTATGGATTATATTGATGTAGAAAGCCTTGCAAGGTTGGAGTTAATATATCGTAGACGGAACTAAGGTGAGAGTATCTAGAGGCATAGGAGCTTCGGGGTCTATAATTCCTCGCCCTGAGATCTTGAAGATAAGGACAACACCAAGACCTACAGTTGGTATTGCTCTTCTCCAATTTATGTGGAATATTGTCCTCCTTTTACCCTTCATGCGACTATATGTAATATATATGGCTAGCATTTCCGCCTTAATATAGAAAAAGATTTATGAATTCAAAAGTCTGCTTCTTGCCTTTAAGATAGTCAAGATGCATGTCAATGGGTTGGAAATCATGAACATATTGAGTTGGTTTTCAGTTCACTGATCAGTGAAGTGGTATCGGAAGATGTTAACTTAGAAGGCTATCTATGCACATGTTAAGAGGCTAAAAACTGGTCAAAAACTCAAAACGGCACACAGTTAATATAACCCAAAAAGTAGTTCTTCGAGGAACTAGAACATAGCTTTTTGCCATTTGTAATAGAATTTAGTTACTCTTAACAATTACAATTACTAGCCTTCTCCTCATATATACAATTCTAGAAAAAGGCAATAAATTGAGAGAATTGAAACTAGGAGCTTTGATATACATGACACTGAGTTTGTAAATATTCCTATACATGCATGGTTACCTTATATCTTCTGTAATTAGATTGGAATTTAAGGAACCAGAATGATGAGCTGTTCTGTATTCTCATTATGTATTACTGTTATCGTTGTATGCCCATATAAGTTCAGTAAAACCACTATTTTCAAGTTGAGATGTGGTCGATGGTTGAGGGGATAAATTTTATTGAATCACTTGGGGCCAGTTTTTTTCTATATCGAGTTTAATTCCCTCTTTGTATGTAATACTTAAAGGCATATAGTAAATGCTATCTTCCCCTTAAGGTTTCAGATGCATATGCACTTTTTAACATCATTAACTAACGGCTTCTGTTCATAGAATTTAAAGACGTTTGTAGTTCAAATGTCATGGATTGTCGTGTAAGTGGTTTAAGATGAGAAACTTGTACCGCACATCGATGTAAATTTGCTCACTTTCTGCATTCAACTTATTTTGTGTGCAATGTTTTGCAGCTGGTCCTAAGGATACCCCAATGGATCTTGTGTTGGAGAATACATGATCCTAAAATTGGGAAGGGCATGCTTGACCTTTAAAGAATCTTCTCGATCTCTCTCATCGGATGCATCAAACATACGAAGCAAAAAGGCTATAGAATTATATGGTTTGCATCTAACGTTTAATGTGGTTGGTAGATGTTGCAATGAAATCTCTTTGGATTGTATTTTAACGTCCAAGGCTTAAACTCTGTACCAATCGAGCATGGCTATTTATGGTGCCTTGTTTTCCTATATGAGATTACCACTCGCCAATTTCCTCCTTGTGCGCTCTATAATGTAATCAGATTCTATTGGTTTCAACGTTGCTAACCCTCAGGGACCTTGTTTCAGACATTGTCCATTATCTGACAGTAGGAATGATCATGGGTTGGATTGGATTGAATTTCTGGTCTATTCGAGCCTGACTTGAGAATTAAGCCTTTTCACTTGACCTAACCCAATTCGACTGTTATTTAGACTTTGTCTAACTCAAAATTTGATATGATTCGATATAGACATAAAAATTATTTTTATTAGGTAAAACATAGAATTAATTGAAAAGAAAATAAAAAAGAATTTTATAATAATTATCTTTAAATATATTAGAGATAATTATAGTATTATATTGAAATATGATCAGATTTGATTCATTACTTAAAGAATAACTCAATCTAACCTAAATCTATTTTTCAAAAAATAATAATAATCTGATCGAATCAGGTAGGACTCTATCGAATACCTATTCCTAGCTGACAAGCCACCTTTCAGAAAACACATCTAATCTTTTCGTGTTGATTGCAATGTTTACACATAATACTTACATTTGCATTCGGTTAGTTAAGGATCGTCCAAAAGTCTGCTGAGATGATATATGAAACCACGATAGGGTCCCATGCAAGCACGGGCGGGTGCTCTAAATTCTCTGAAATTAAGTGCATCTCATTATTTAAATATATATATATATATATAATCTATTATGTTAAGAAAAAATTAAAAAAAAATACATATTCATTATTTTAAAAAAAATATTAAAATTTAGATCCGGAACTGCCAGTGCATGCGAGCCCAACACAACGCGGCGTTTCAGCATTTACTTGTCATGACTCATGACACGTACAGTAGACACCCGTCTTCATGCATGCACTTACCTTGCCGCTATATATAATCCCAATTTTCATCTTCAATCTCTGCAACAACAAGCGACGCTTTCAAAAATGTCTGCCAAATCGAAGCTTTCTGCAGTTATTTTAGTCCTGTCTGTTGCGGCTTTGTTTGCGGGCTTAGCCTCTGCTAAGCAAGACCCAGAGCGAAAACAATGCTCCCACCAATGCAGAGTCCAGCAACAATTTGATGAGGAACAGAAAGAAGAGTGTATGAGAAAATATGAAGAATACCACAGAGAGAAAAAAGAAAGAGAGGGTGTAAAAGAACTTGAATTTGATCCTGACCGGAGATTGAGAGAGTGCCAGAGCCGGTGTATGCGACAAGGAAGGGGGGAGGCGCAGCAGCTGTGTCGCTTTCGATGCCGACAGAGATTGGAGAGAGAGCATGACAGAAGGTGGGAGGAGGAAGGCAAAAAACATACGAAGGAATACGAAGAAGAAGAAAAGCACAATCCTTATGTATTTGAAGATCGACATTTCTCTACCCCAATCAAGACTGGGAAAGGAAGAGTTGATCTTCTCACCAAATTCACACACAACTCGGATCTTCTTCGTGGCATTGAGAATTATCGACTGGCCCTACTTGTTGCAAATCCGAAGGCGTTTCTAATCCCAAACCATTTTGATGCTAATGCTATCTTTGTTGTCACTCAAGGTTATATAATCTTTATTTTCAATATTGTGTCATACAAGAAAAAAACTATGAATTTTAACTGAACACTGCATTTCATTCATGAACAGGACGTGTAATAATATCAATGATCCATGAAGATAAGAGACGGAGCTTCAACATTGAAACAGGAGACATCATCAGGGTTCGTTCTGGGACTCCTCTTTATTTGATCAACAGAGATGACAGTGAGAAACTGTTCATAGTCAAGTTATTGCAAACCGTCAATCGTCCAGACCATTATGAGGTATTTTACGGTGCTGCTGGTGCAAAACCGGAATCATTCTATGCAACATTTAGCATTGAGATCCTTGAAGCTGCTCTCAAGGTAAAAGTCTTATTCCATACTGTGTCTAACTTCATCCATTGCCAAGTTTCGCTTTGTATCTTAAATTTATTTAAAACGTATATTATTGTATAATTTGAGAAAATAAAAATGAAGATAAAAGAGACAAATTTTACGTGGAAAACTCCTAAATAATGTAAGGTAAAAATCACGGGCAACAGTAGAATTTCACTATGAGAAAATAAGAATTACAACTTCTCTCGATCTACCAAGGAGAAAACAATGATAATTCTCTCTTTATAAAAAGGAGAAAATAACTCTCAAGAAACTCTCTAAATTCTTTAGTATTGGAAGAAAGCTAGAATGCTTTGGGATGATTTTGAAGCTAAATGAGATAAGGTATTTATAGTTGAAGCTTAAGGACTAGTTTGTAAATACCCTAAATTACAATGACTAAAATTGAGATTTTACCATTTCAAAAGTCATCAAAATCATGCTGCCAATTGCTCCAATTTTCCAACCAAATTTCGGTGGAATTATTTTGTTTGTTTTTTTCAAACTTTCCACCGAAAGTTTGGTGGCAGCAGCTAATTTGGACTTTCCAAATTTGTATTTCAACAATCACCCACTTAAAGATTTGATTGGAACAATCATATCTTCACACCATTCTTTCTACCTTGTATCATCATGTTATTTGCGTTTCTAACAGGCCACAAGAGGATCGACACCAGGTAAATTTATCAGCATTGATTGTCTTCGTCATGAAATCTGTTATGTTATCTTTGGTATGGATCTTCTGCATATCTACCGTCCCTTCTTCTACCTTTTCACGAATGAAATGGTACTGAACTCGTATGTGCTTTGTCCTTGAATGAAATGCTGGATTCCTTGCTAAATGCAAGACACTTTGACTGTCACAAAACAGAGAGACATACTCTTGATTGTGCCCAAGCTCCTCCAATAACATCTTCAACCCAATTGCTTCTTTACTGGCTTGTGTAGCTGCTACATATTCTGCCTCTGTTGTGGATGTAGCCACAACAGACTGTAATTTTGAAACCCAGCTTATAGCTCCACCAGCAACTTTAAACACATATCCTGTAGTATATTTGCTTTTATCCAAATCCCCTGCATAGTCAGAATCTACATACCCATTGATTAGTAAGTTTGATCCTCTATAATATAATGTAACATTTGAGGTCCCTTTGATGTATCTCATGATCCTCTTTACTGTATTCTAATGCTCTTTGTCTGGATTCTCCATGTACCGACTAACCACTCCCACTGCTTGTGCAATGTCTGGTCTTGTGCATATTATAGCGAACATTAAACTTCCCACTGCCGATGCATACGGTACTCGAGACATCTCCATCTTCTCTTCTTCACTGCTAGGACTCATACTGGAGGATAATTTGAAGTTAATAGTAAGAGGGGTAGAAATTGGCTTACAATCTTGCATGTTGAATCGTGACAAGATCTTCTTTAAGTAATTCTTTTGTGAAAGCCAAATCTTCCTATTACTTATGTCTCGGTGAATTTGCATCCCTAGAATCTTGTTTGCTGATCCCAAGTCCTTCATTTCAAATTCCCTAGCCAGTTGTGCCTTCAATTCGTCAATATGATCTTTGTTGGGTCCTACAACCAATATGTCATCCACATACAACAACAATATAACAAAATCGTTATCACCAGACCTCTTGGAATAAGCACAAGGGTCTGCATTAAGTCTGTTATATCCAAGACACATAATGAAGGAATCAAATCTCTTATACCAACACATCGGCACCTGCTTTAGACCGTACAGAGATTTGTTCAACCTGCAAACCAAGTTCTTCTTTTCTTTTTCTTCAAAACCTTCAGGCTGGAGCATGTAAATTTATTCTTCAAGATTTCCATGAAGAAAAGCTGTTTTAACATCTAGCTGCTCTAGATGTAAATTCAATGTAGCACACATCGCCAAAATTATTCGAACTGTTGTTAGTCGAACCACAGGAGAAAATATTTCATTGAAATCAATACCTTCTTTTTGAGCATATCCTTTGACCACCAGTCTTGTCTGATACCTCTCCACTTGATCGTCACCATTTCGCTTGATTTTGAAAACCCATTTGTTACCAATTGGCTTACTTCCTTGTGGTAGTGGCACAAGGTCCCATGTATTATTTTTATGAAGGGCTTCAATTTCTTCTTGCATCGCCATCATCCACAGTGAAGCATCTGAGCTGTTTATTGCCTCCTGGTATGTTGATGGCTCACCGTCCTCTGTTAAAAGGCAATATGTAATATTACCTTCTATAACATAATTTGAGTACCAATTGGGACGTCTTCTCACACGATCTGATTGACGAGTTCTTGGAGCTTCAGAACTCTCTGGTTCTTGTTCGTCATGTACTGGTTCTGCTTTAGAAGAATCTCCTTGTTCAAACTCATTTTTCACATATATCTGTGTAGTCTCTGACTTTTCGGCGCTATTATCATCTTCTTTTCTTTGTAGCTTATCTTCTACAAAGATAACATCCCCGCTAATGATCACTTTGCGGGTAGTGGGATTTCACAAGCGATACCCCTTTACTCCATCAACATACCCCAAGAAGTTGCATTTCCTGGATTTTGAATCCAGCTTTGAAATTTCTTGGGAGTTGTACATCACGTACACTATACTTCCAAATACATGGAGGTTTGAATAATCAGCTGGTTTTCCAGTCCACATCTCCATTGGTGTCTTCAGCTCTATTGCAGTTGATGGAGCTCGATTCACCAAATAACAGACGGTATTGACTGCTTTTACCCAGAATGATTTTCTAGGCCTGCATCCCTCAACATTGCTCTTGTTCTTTCTAACAAGGTTTTGTTCATCCGCTCTGCCACTCCATTTTGTTGAGGAGTGTTCGCCACTGTGAACTGTCTTTTGATGTCTTCTTTCATGCAAAAGTCATCAAATTCTTTGCTTGTGTATTCTCCTCCATTATCTGTTCTGAAACACTTGATCTTATTTCCAGAATCAAGTTCCACCCACGCTTTAAAGTTTTTGAAAGTTGAAAACACGTCTGACTTCTTCTTAATAGGGTACACCCAACATCTCCTGGAGTAGTCATCAATAAATGAGACAAAGTATTTTACTCCGTCTAGGGATGTTACTGGTGCTTACCATACGTCAGAGTGAACCAATTCTAGAACACTTTTGCCTCTAGAATTTGACGTGTTAAATTTCAACCGGTGCTGCTTACTTGTTATACAATGCTCACATAAAGGAAGTGATACATTTGTTAAGCTGGGAAGTAGTTTTTGCTCCACAAGGACTTTCATTCCTTGTTCTGACATGTGTCCAAGTTTCTGATGCCATAGCATTGCAGAATCTGAACTACATGAGGCAACAGAGGCTTATGCTTCTAGCAAAGTCTCTCCCTTCAGCATGTACAAGTTTGCTGCTATCTTTTCGCCTTTCAGCACCACAAGCGCTCCATGGAACACTTTTATGATTCCTTTCCGTGTTTCAATCTTGCTTGCATTATTATCCAACAATCCGTAGAATAATAAATTTTTCATTAGGCCTTTCACGTGCCGCACATCTCGAACAACTTTAATTATTCAATCATACATCTTCAATTTGACGGTTCCAACGCCAACGATCTCTAAGGCATGATCATTGCAACTATACACAGATCCTCCTGAGACAGGTTCATAATGATGGAATCATTCTCTTCTTGAGGTCATGTGATATGTTGCTCCCGAATCAATGAGCCATATATCTGCAAATATTTTTCTGCCTTCCACGGTGGTTGACGCTTCACAGCATAGAGCATCTCCATCATCTGAAGTGTTTGTGGTATTGACTTGTGGATTGGAGTTTTTATTTAAACTCCAACAATCCTTCTTCAAGTGACAATTCTTTCCACAGTTGTAACATTTTAAATTCTTCTTGCTCCTTGACTTCGATCTACCATGTTTGTGATTGCTGCTTTGGCCACGTTTTGTTGATCTCCCTCTCATCGTTGTCAACGCTCCTACTTGTTGCAGATTTACTTGTATGTATTCCTTGTTTTTGCGTCGATTTTCTTCTTGTAGAACAGCAGCTGCAACGTCATCGAAGACTATACTGGTGACATTACTGTTTGTCAAGTTGATGATGAGTTGATCATACGAATCCGGTAGACTTTGAAGTAGAAGTTCAGCACGTTCTTGTTCTCATATTTTACAGCTTAAGGATGTAAGCTGAGAAAATAAAGTGATCATTGTATTTAAGTGCTCCGTCACTGAAGTAGATTCTGACATCCGAAGAGTGTACAATTTCCTCTTAAGGAAAATTTTATTGTGCAACGATGTGGCCTCGTACAATTTGGTGAGATGATCCCATATCTCCTTAGTTGTATTCTTCTCCTCGATGCTTGACAATACTTCATCTGCTAATGCTAGATGAAAGTTTGTCATAGCATTCCCGTCCATTTCGATCCATTTGTTGTCGTCTGTGAAATCTATCGGCCTTTCAATGATAGCTGCTAGACAACCCTCTTTTCTCATGATGGCCTTCATTTTCAATTTCCACAATGAGAAATTTTTCCCATTAAATTTTTTAATATCAAATTTCGTTGTCATAGCTTCTATTACGGATAGCTCTCACTATTTCACTATCGTGAATAGTTCTCTAGAACCTTCAAAGAATAGGTAATACCTTCTTACTTTCTTATATTGGAGGATCCACCTTTTGGTGGCAACCACAAACACAATAAGTAGATATTACACACTCTAATCTGGTTCTGATACCAATTGTTGCGGAAGACGGCTATCGGATAGAGCAAAATCGTAACTGATAATTTGATAAAACAAAAATGAAGATAAAAGAGACACAAATTTTACGTGGAAAACCCCTAAATAATGTAGGGTAAAAACACGGGCAACGGTAGAAGAATTTCACTAGGAGAAAATAGGAATTACAACTTCTCTCGATCTACCAAGGAGAAAACAATGATAATTCTCTCTTGATAAAAAGGAGAAAATAACTCTCAAGAAACTCTCTAAATTCTCTAGTATTGGAAGAAAGCTAGAATGCTTTGGGATGATTTTGAAGCTAAATAAGCTAGGGTATTTACAGTTGAAGCTTAAGGACTAATTTGTAAATACCCTAAATTACAATGACTAAAATTGAAATTTTACCATTTCAAAAGTCATCAAAATCATGCTGTCAATTGCTCCAATTGCTCTAATTTTCCAACCAAATTTTGGTGGAATTATTTTGTTTGTTTTTTTCAAACTTTCCACCGAAAGTTTGATGGCAGCAGTTAATTTGGACTTTCCAAATTTGTATTTCAACATATATGTAACACTTAACCAGAATTCAAGAGATAAGCTGGAGAGGTTTTTCGACAAACAAGGCAAAGAAGCTATCCTCGCAGTCTCGAAAGAACAAATCGAGGAATGTGGCAAAGGCGGTGGAATATGGCCTTTTGGAAGTGATTCAAAGAATCCATTCAATCTCTTCAAAAAGCGCCGCCCTTCAAAGTCTAACAAATATGGTCAGCTCTTTGAAGTTGATGCAGATGAATTTCAGCACCTTAAAGATTTCGATCTCAGGGTTTCCTATGCCAACATCAGTAGGGTAATGTCGCACTTTATTTTTTTTTTGTACCGACAAATTGGATAACAGATTAACCACGTTCTTTACTTTATGTTCAGGGATCCATGATTGCCCCTTTGTACAACTCGAGGGCAATAAAGATTGCCATTGTCGTGCAAGGCGAAGGGTACTTGGAAATGGTACCTCCTGATGTGTCCTCCAAGTCCAGTCATCGTCAAAGTCGGGATTCTGGACAAAGAAAGAGTGGCTCTAGTTATCAGAAGATGAGCTCACGTCTACCGTTCGACACAGTGTTCGTTGTTCCGGCGGGGCATCCTTTCGTAACAGTTGCATCTAGACGTACCAATCTAGAAGTTCTATGTTTTGAGGTCAATATAGAAAACAATGTCAGATACCTTCTAGCAGGTAAATAAAGTACAAAATAACCTTGTTTTTATAAGCCAGCAGTACTCTTTGTCTTTCATTTCATGTAATCTTGGTTTTCTTTTACAGGGGAGGGTAATTTCGTGCAGCAATTCGAGAAGGAAGCCAAGGAGTTGGCTTTCAAGACCAGGGAAGAAGAGGTGGATATGATCTTTGGTAACCAGGACGAAGAGTTCTTTCTCCCTGGACCAAGTCAACAAGGGAGCAGAGATTATAAATAAGGGAAAAGCATGGCGAACTTGTAAAAATGGGTTTAAAGCTTTGAGGGGGAAGGCACTCCATGGTTGAGCTTTCAGCTAACAACTACTTGTGTAAATTTTGCATGGTGTGAAATACGAATAACTCATGCGAGCCCATGTTAGACAAATATTCCAGGCTTCCAATGAACCCAGAAAATGATGTAGACGGGCTAAGAATGTTTTGTATAGAAGCCCGAATAAGATCCCACGTTGAACAAAAACATGTATTGGATCGATGATGTAGACCTCTCAACAAACTAGACGTTCGCCAATGATAAATGACTGCCTTTGATGGGATGGGGAGTATCAGAGAAAGAAACCAAAGACCAGGCGTCCCGTCGGTTGCCTGGTGACATCTTCTTCCAGTTCTGAAGATACCCTTTTTTTTTTTCCTTTCTTCCATAGGCTCAGTGAAATCCGGGTCGACTATATTAAGGACCGGCATTGTGGAAAACGAGGTTGACCATAGCTCTAAACAGAAACCACCCCCACAAATTATTGACAGCAAAAGAAACAAGTGTTAGATTTAGTGTAACAGACGCTCTGCGGGTGGAACAAGAAACGAGCATGACACCAGGTATACGTATACCATGTTGGTCACTGCTCACTTATCAGGACTGACACCTTGTTTAACAAGCAACAATCTTTACTATGACATCAGTTTTATATAATCAATGCTCTTAATTTGGTAGTTTTAGGGGCTGTTTGTTTACTTTAAAATAATTAAGCGCTGAATGATTCAAATGCTGAATGATTCAAAGGCTCTGTATGAATTAACTCTGAATGTAACATTCTGTTTGATAATGGCTCTGAATCATTCAGAATGTACTTTGATGCTAAATCAGTCAACACTGAATCAGTCAGCACTGAATCATTCAGAGGTGAGAAACAGACACATTAAATGCTGAACGGTTCAGTATTTAACGCTTAATGGTTCGATTCAGAGCTAATCAAACAGTCCCTTAAATCTATGGGATTTGCATCAGCTGAAGCTAGCTAGGTTGTGTAGTTTTCAAGCGTGGGGGCATGCAGTTTTGTCAGGTCTCAAAAGAAACTCCACAAATATCATTCCTATTCGCTTCAATCTCAAAATCGAAAGTGGCTTTTGCCTTCTTCACGGTTTGGGACCAGTTATTATAAAATTTAAACCAAGTTGGTTGTGCACCGGTGGCCCTATTGCTAGGACCGAGACGAACTTCAGATAAACGTTCATTAAGTTGGCCTGTTTCTGCATTCAGTGGAAGGCACTGTGCTTGTTCAAAATGGCTATTCCCCATGCAGACCTGCTTTCACGCATAGCATTGTTATGCGTAATCCCCACATGCACCACTCCGCTCCCCATGTTAGTTTTTCTTGCCAAAAAATGCCTTCAAACTGTACGTCCAGTCCCTCTCGGTGGGTGAAGTTAAGTGTCCATCACGTGGCAGAGAGGGAGAAACAGGCCCCCTCCGGCGGCCTATGAGATACCACCAACGAGTTAGCATGCTCAAGCAAACCAGTGAGGTTGGGGGCCGAGTCAGATTCAGAGGAGTGCTTTTGCCTTTGTGCTCTCGTCCAAGGATGACGTGAGGGAAAGAGAAATCGATAACATTCTTAAAACGTGGGGTACCCTCTGAAAGGGTTGTCAGTCCTTCAGAGGTGCCATGATCTGTGGGTCTTAATATGTCCCGCAGTTCATCAAATTTTACCTAAAAAATATTATATGCTATTTGATATTTGATGGAAATAGAGAGATAACTGTCTAATAAGAACAAAAAATGCAGAACACAAAACTTTACTGTCTCTATCCCAAATGCAGAACACTTAAAAGCATAAATTAGGGAAATTTGTGAAGTGCGTATGCACCAAATCCCGGTGTTTTGTTAGGCAGCTTGAAGAATTGCAGATATTTTAGTGAAGTGAAAGAACCCTTGGATTATTTTGGTTTGTTCTTTGACTATAATGTCCATAACACAACCCAAAGTTTGTACAAATCAAGTCATTCAAAGCATAGTATTAAATTACGTCTGCAATTGTAACAGTCATATTGTCATATTTTTCAGTATTATAACATAAAAATATAGTTCCTCTTAGGAATAATTTATAATATCCGTAATATTTATAATTGAACATTACAAGACCGTGACCGCAATTATAATTTAATAACATGATTGAAGAGTGACCAAATGATGGGAATCATTACTTTATATATCCAAAGCTGTTAAAACAGGATATTGACAAAGATAAGAGCTTCCCCTTCGGCACTTACTTTCAGTAACCGTCCTCTGCCTTAGATAGCTACTAGACAGCAGGACATGAATGCAGGCATATATACGCACAGCATCAAATCAAAAAATAGTAGCAGTGAGACATTTTCATATTGGAAATTAAGGAACAAAAGGATACTAAAATAAGAAAAAGGAAGAAAGGGTTAAGGCAGGTGTGGGAATTCCCAGTTTCCCATGATTATAAAAGAAAAGTAGTTTCATGTGTTGTGGTTCTTTGGATGAATCAGGCTTTGTGGGATTCTCTTTCAAAGCTTTCAACCTGTAAAACAAGTGTAAACGTCCAAACATGTCGTTTTAAAAACATGTAATATCACCCAAATTCAAGCTGGAAATTCCCACCACTAAAAAAGCTTCATGTTGTACTGGTATATAACATCGAATAACTTTGATTCTGGACAATGAAAAAGCTATTTCTCCTCAAACCCCACAAACCCTATCCAAACTGGGCCAATCCACCTTGAAAACGATTTCATTCTTTTTCTTTATACAGAAAAAGTGAACTTTTATCAATGGTTTTTGATTTGGAGCTTGCTGTTGATTTGTTGCAGTCTTAATGGTCTCTCACCTTCTACCATCAATGCAAAATTTACAGTCCCATTACTTTGAGGATATGAGATAATTCATTATAAAAAGTGTAGTCAAGTGGAAAATTTTATCCGACATGTACTTTTTCAGGGAAAGAATATGCTGTTTCATGTCTTTTCCCGACAGTTTATCTATAAACTTCCAAGATTATTTTATTTACCGTGAAGAAAATGCTAAGTGAACTGAAACCTGTGGAGATATAAATCTTGTAACTGGTTGACTTTAGATGGAAACATTGCTGGGTTAAAAAAATTAAATAAATTTTCTCGGTTCTTGAGTTCTGACAGCTCCCAAAGGTTTGGTTGTCCAACCAAATACTGAACAAAACAATTGGCAGTAAGCAGGCAGGGTTATACCATTGCAGAGAGCACCAGCATTGCAGTCCTGTCCAGGCTTCAAGTTTTGATCATATCTGAAAATTTGCATCCTCAGTTGAAGAATGCTTCAATGCTTTCTGATGCGGTAGCTGTCTAGCTGATGCATGGCCCATAGATGAAACTATTCAGATTTGAAACCACAGAGGCATTGTGAACTTGAGCCCTTTATTGGGATTCATTTGCCTTTTGGAGGCATGTTCTCTCCTTGATAAATACATGAAATTCAATCTTAACATCTGAGATTATTTTTAATCTCATCAAAGTATTCGTCTTTTTACTTACTTTCTTCTTGGCTTTTCTTTTACTTTTGATGAGTTCAAGTCGCTGTTTGAAAAAGATGTACAAAATGTTAGAGTTTTACTCAAGTGATATAAATTAATTAATATATAAATATTAAAAAAATTAGAAAATTCAGTTTGGTTAAAATTAGATTTCTATTTTATTTAGTTTTATTTTGTAATTAAATATCTATCCCCATGAATAGATACTAAAGATCAAAGTTAAAAATTAAAAATTCTTTTATTTCACCAAAGTCCTCGTGTATATTATTCCTTAATATTAATAAATTTTTTTTCTTCTGTCTGTGATATTTTCCTTTTGGATTTTTCATGTAAATCTGTGTTTTTTATTTTTTTTTATTTTCAATCGTATTTATTTGTTTACCGATAATTATTGTTTCGATATTATAACACTAAAGATAAAGATAATCAATTCAAAGTTCAAACAAATTAGTTTCTCCTTTATATCAGCAGAATGATTAGCGGCAACTGGGGAAAGAAGAAGAAGGTTTACATAAACCAAAGTTTCTGTTTTATTCATTAGTAACGAGCATCCATCACATCTCAAACCTCCAGCAGGCTTTATTTCCCAAGACTAGTACAAAAAGTAAATTGCCAATTGATTCCATTATCTCCCCCCCCCCACCCCTTTTTCATTTTCTCCCCTTAAAAAAAAACCCTTTCTGCTGGAATTTACAAAAGCATTTTAAAAAATCTAACCAAATGTTAAAACAGTCATCAATGATAGTCAGGCAATGCTGTGCCATCATGATCTTCTGGAGTTAAGAATTTGTTAACAATATATAGAGTTGAACCTGTTACAGCAAGGAAAAGCCATGTTAGAGAATTAGAAAATTGAATTTATGGCAAGAACTTACATCCAGACTATTAAAAGTAAAGACCGACCTTTCGGGTTGCGGTCGACAGTACTCGTTCGTTCGCCGGAATCTCACCAAGGCATTGCTCATCTGTAAAATGGGAACATTTAAGAACAAGCAATAGATATTCTCAAATTCAAAAACTTCAACAGGGAACGGATACATGATTTATAGCAGCAGTTTCAGAACATTGTATTGCAAGTGTACGGTAACAGCAAAAAGATTTCGTTTTATTTAGTTCCCTTTGTATGGAAGGATTACCTTATACAAGAAAGCACTTAATACCGCGTCGTCTTCCGGAACTGTGGCACAGAATAAGGATTGTTAAATAATTCTCTCAAAAGAAACTTAGTTCAGTGTATCCATGTGACTCTGGCAACAGCTCTTCAGCCTCAATCCTGCCCCTGGAACAATTCATGCTTTTCCTTGTTCGGTTACAGTTAATAGACTCAACATCTACCGAAAATACACTATACACCGGCCTATGGTCTGAGAACTTTGACTCTCCACGAACATAAGATAACTGGTAGAGGCCTCGTCCATACCACAGTATACGATCGCACCTTCACAACGAACATAAGAAACTTATTTGTCTGTTT